CCCGAAGACGAATTAGACCCCGAAGACGCTTTCCGCAGACGAATTCTGATGGCAATGTTGGATCGGATTGAGCAGATATGTGCCGATGGCTGAAGATGCAGTTTATAGCAGCAGAAATCTTTGATTGCCGCTTCATGTGCTGCCATGTACGTGGAGGTAGCATGTTTATGGTCTGCGTTCCACAGCAGCCGTTGTTTATGGCTATAGGCTATAGTAGTTACCCGGTCCAATTGTTGCGCTGTGTGTTCTGCCATATCTTGGACATGTGTTGGGGTTGCCTGCTGCTTCAACAGTGTCAAAACGGCCCCTGCTACGAAGAACCGTTTCGTGCAGTTTGGAGCATCAGACGGGGTCCTGTCACGTCAGGGAATGCGGCGTCGCAATGTGGCGTCAGGGGGTAATGCGGCGTCAAAGGGGCCATGTGGCGTCAGGGAATGCGGCGCCAGAATGCGGCGTCAGGGAGTAATGTGGCGTCACGGGCAAATGCGGCGTCCGGGAATGTGGCGCCACAATGTGGCGTCAGGAGGTAATGCGGCGTCAGAGGGGCAATGTGGCGTCAGGGAATGCGGCGCCAGAGTGCGGTGTCAGGGGGGAATGCGGCGTCAGGGGGGGATGCGGCGTCGGGAATGTGGCGTCAAATGTGGCGTCAGGGAGTAATGTGGCGTCAGGGGAGGAATGTGGCGCCAGGGAAGAATGCGGCGTCAGGGGGTAATGTGGCGTCAGGGGGTAATGTGGCGTCAGGGAATGCGGCGCCAGAATGCGGCGTCAGGGGGTAATGCGGCGTCAGGGGGGAATGTGGCGTCAGGGAATGTAACGTCGCAGTACTAGGAAAGTGGCGCCATAATGTGGCTGCAGCGTCAAGGTCAAAAGCGGGATCCCGTCTGCCGCCGCCCTGCAAGGTTTGACATGGAGCCTCTGTGGGTAGACAGCTGTGACAGGTGAGCTGGATGTGAACAAAATCTCTAAAGATCTCTTAGATGTGTTCCGGTAGGGCAATTTGTGAACAGGTTTGTGCTTTATGATTGCATGGATGCATTTGCATGCAGTTGCATGCCCTGCAGGGGGGGGTCTTCTAGACCTTTAGCCCTTCGAGGCTTTCCTTGTTGAAAGAAGAGGCCGTCGGTCCTTTTGGCCCTGTGAACAACCCCAGGTGGAACATCTTCAACACGTCAAAGCATGGACACAGCAATCAACCGCCATGCGTCCACCACCGCAATGAACGCACCTTCAACAACACCATACGCTCGTTGAGGCAGCGAGAGACTTAAGCTGGCACAGAGAGAGGGAGGGAGGGAGGGACGGAGGGAGGGAGGGAGGGAGGGAGGGAGAGAGGGAGAGAGAGAGACCGACCAAAAACTAGCACCACACCCTTCGAAGAGACCGCGCCCCATCCAAGGCTTTCTCCTCTGAAAACCGCCCCATGGCTTCGGCCCCTCTCTAGGGATGCAGACCGCGCCGAACCGTGTTCACCACGTCCAGGTCGGCTACCGCGACGGCTTCCGCATCTCGTCGCAGGGCCCCGAGGCGCCAGACCATGGCGGCCAGCAGGGCGGCGTGGTGCCCAAGGCGCGTGGCAGCGCGTGATCCGCGACTGGTCGACTCGGTGGGTCAGCGGAAGCCGTGACCGGGCGTGGGTGGCCAGTTGGGTGGCCGTTCTGCGTAGGTGGTCTCAATGTAAGAGCCTTTGACTGCCGCAGTCAAGTACTTGTGGTGAGGATAGAGAAGGATCCCAACTGCACCGGTTCACCGTTCAATCCATCCTGACAACACTCCAGAGCCAGTGATTCTCAGTCGAACTCCTGCAACAGGTCGAAGAAGTGGGCTACTCTGAGACCTGGTATGACCGCATCGTGAAGGAGACGATGTCGAACACCACGTGCACGCTGGTCGGTTCCACTTCCTCTCGGTGACTTGTGAACCGGGTCCAAACGGCTGAAACGCCGCGGAGAACGCCACGCCGTGGAGTTCCGCCGGCGTCTGGGCGCCTCCAGGACACGGGCGAGCACTATAAGATCCCCTCCTCATCCCAGCTGGACCGTGCCAAGCTGCGGACTCTGTCCAAAGGCGCCGGACCACGACAGAGACAGAGTCGGGGAGGTTGGAGGGGGTGCTGGTGCCGACCAGCGTCAAGTCCGGACTGGAGAGAAAGACATCAAACTCATGATCAGCCCCTTCTACCGAACCAGTTTTCCTTCAGCTTTGAGCAGGGTAGAAGAGGTTGGGTTCATCCATGTGCACCATGGTTCATCACAAGTTGGAGATTTGGCGCTCGATGAAGGAGTCGCCATGGGCATGGACACTGGCTCGGCGAAGTATGTCATCGTTTGAATGTGGAGCAAGGACTTGGCTACCGAACCTGGCCAGACATATGCTTTTAAAGAGCTTCAGCAGGTTTTTTACTAGGGTTTTCACACTGCATAATCCTATGACGTGGCTTTTTCCATCTGAATCTTCATCTCATGTTTGCAGTCTTTTTTGCGGCTTCCAACCATCACTCTTCTTGCAAAGCTTCCTTTTTGCTTTGCAAAGCTTCCGGGCCGTCCGACTGTCCACGGCAGGAGCCTGGTGCCCCTCCGTCTCAGTGCGAGTCGAACCAGTTCTGCGGTCCGAGCAGGTCCCAGCTGGACTGCCAGACATACAAGTTGTTGAGTCAAGTCGTATCTTCCTGTTGTAAACCACCCTAATATTAAGCTTAAACATGTGCAGCGTACTCGCTTGCAGTAGATGTGACTTAAAACATGAAGACGTGACTTAACCCCTCCCCTTATAGCTTCTGGAAGAAACTGAGGGAAGCAGGCATAGTATAGTGAGGTTTGCTGAACAACAGAAGATGTTTTTGTCATGTTATATCGCTGATTGAAGTGACTATGGTGGAGGGTGCTTGAAGCGAACACCTCCCAAGTATGTTGGATGTTTCCAGCGCTGCTCATCTCGATAGCCATGCCGCACGGAAATGCCACCGAAAGATCAATACAGCCCGGCAGCTCGACAGCTCGACGCGGACTGCATTTGGATGCTGTACATAAGGATGGCCACGGATAGGCCCAATACTTTCAAGTTCCAAGCTAGATCGCAGCCGGGCATCGCCAGATTGTGGCCCCGGGTCGGCACGCGGAAAGAGAGTGCTTGCTGGGAGCATGGCAGAACATGGTGGGGCACGCGAACGTGGATCCCCGACCTCTCTTCCATGTTCTGTCCTTTACTAGAGTGACTAGAGGCTATGCCTGCCAGAGAGAGAGAGAGAGAGATAGAGAGAGAGAGAGAGAGAGAGAGAAAGAGAAAGAGAAAGAGAAAGAGAAAGAGAAAGAGA